CCTATGGTTAATAGATTTGCTATTGTTAGATATACACATAAATCCAACGTCAAAGATCCAAACATTGATGGGAATTTCATTGGTTTGATCTGGGCTATTTTAGCATTAGGTCAATTTAAATTCAATGGTTTTATAAATGAAGAAAGTAAAATATTGAGTTTAAATTGTGCTAGAAACTCAGTTATTGCATTAGAAACAACAACAACTTCCACTATTGAGACTATTCAATCAATGCTATTATTAGGTTTATTTTACTATGAGATTGGTGAATGGGATTCAGCATGGGTTTTAACTTCAAGTGCTTCAAGAATGGCTGTCGATACAAGATTGATGATTAATAACAATCAAAAATTGATGGAACATGAGATTAAATTGAGAGAAAGAACTTGGAGTGGTGTTTATTTGTTGAATTTGCTTTTGAGTTTAAGATTAGGGAGATCTCCTGTTGTTAGAAAAGCTGATTATCCAATTCCAAAGATTTCTGAAGATGATTGGGAAGAATGGGATGGTTGGACTGAATTTCAAATTGAAAATTATGAGAACCTAACTTTGGCTAACAAGAAACCATTAAAGTTAGAAAGTGCAAGATGTTTAAGTGTTCATAATAAGTTATTAGAACTGGCATCCTTATTGAATCTGATTGTTACAAGTTATATTGAATATAATGAGAATCTTGATCAAACAGGGTTTTATAAAAATGATCATCATAGATTGTTAAATACAAATCCTGAAGTTTTCACATTTGGTACTTATACCATCAATCCAAATGAAACAATTGCCGTTTCTGCTATTGAAGATGAATTACTTGAATGGTTTAAATCATTACCCCCACATTGTCAAATAAATGATGACACATCAGATGAAGAGGAAAATGGGAAGATTCCACACTTTGTTGCTTTGATTCATTTATTTTATCATTTGAGTTGGGGTTTATTAGCTCTCAAAGTTTTGGATATCAAACATATTGATGCAAGTGACACAATCAAAGTATTAAACCATCTAAATGTTAATGTTCATTTTGCGAAATCTTTGAAGAGTATTATTGAAATTTTGCAAAGATTTAATGTGAAAAGTTTGGTTCTCTCAATTCCTTATATTGATTATTTCCTTAGTGTTCCTTTCAAGCTGAATGATGTTTTGGACAAAGATTATGCTAGTGAAATCATGGATATCTTGCAACAAGCTAGTACAATTTCCCCTAGTTGCTTAGTGACTTATAACATTCTGAAGATAATGCAACAACAAGACCAAAATAAGAGATCATTAATGGCAACTTATAAAGAACAACAGCAATCACATCATCAACCAATTCCAGCGGAAACACTAGCTCAAGGTACTTCAGATTCGGAACTTTTGAATAGTTTCAAACAAGCTAGTGGGATGAACTCATTGAAGCATACACCCACACCAGACTTGCAACAAAGATCATATTTTGCAAGACCACAATCCACCAGCTTTAAACCAATCTCTAGTTTCAATTCACCAAATCCATCAGGAACAACAGCAACATCTACAGATCCATCAACAATGATAAATGATTTAGATAGTTTTTTGATAGATATTGGACCATCAAACAAGGGTGAAAACAAGATGAAACAGTTTATAAAGAACCTGGGATATGTTGGTAATTCGAAATCATCGATTTATGATCATGTTACAACACCTCAAATTGCATCATCATCATCAACAGGAGCAATGGGCACAATGGGTACTGCATTAAATGAAAATTTAGCATTCACACCTGGTGAGATTGAAAGTATTGGACTTCATGAGTACTTGGAGCATATGGCAGCATCAAATAGTAAAAAGAGGTAGATTTAATGTACATTTTGTATTGTATTTATTTCACTTGTAGTGTTCTAGAGACCTCTCGGCCGAGTCGTGAACTCTGGATTTTTGTTAGGGGGGTTAAATCTTTAACCATGGGCACCACAAAGTAATAAACTACGCAATTTTTGATATAACCACAAAACAATGAAAAATGGGAAAATATTTAAGAATTGATTCAAATCTGATATTTAAACAGTATTGGATCCTTGAAACGTCATAAACACTCATTATAGAGGGCATGCCGATAAGGTCAATTGCCAAAGCACAAAGAAGAAGAATCATCCCATCAAGTTTTATTAGTATGACACATAACTCATCAAATGAAGAACCAAAAAGATTTGGTTTAGAAAACCAAGTGAAAAGAAATCCTCATAAAGATTTTGGGAAAGTTGAAGCATCAAGAGAGCCTTTTGAAACAGATGTTGTATGGCATTACACCAAAATTCCAAAAACTGATTGGGTTCCTGGTACTGGGGCAAATGATAATGAATGGTCCAAATATGAAAAAATTTCAATAGATCCATTCGGTGAAGATCGTAATCCTGTTGATAACTATAAATTGTTAATCTCAGCTGTTGTGCCTAGACCTATTGGTTTTGCATCAAGTGTTTCTGCTAAAGGGGAAAGAAATTTAGCACCTTTTAGTTATTTCACAATGGTTAATCATGATCCACCAATTTTTGTTATTGGATTTTCTGGAGGTAGAGGTAATCCAAAGGATACTTGTAAGAATGTTTTAGAAACTGGTGAAGTCACTATAAATATTATTAGTGAATGGTTTGTTGAAGCTGCAAATTTCTGTTCAACCAATTCTCCACATGGTGTTGATGAATGGAAGTTGAGTGGATTGACTCCAGTTAAATCAAATGTTGTGAAGCCTGAACATGTTAAAGAAAGTGCATTTTCCATTGAAGGGAAATTGATTCATAGTCATGAATGGAAGTCAAAGAAAGATCCATCTAGAGCCACTGGTACGTTATGTATAATAGAGGGTGTTCAATTTCATGCAAGAGAAGATGTTATCAATGATGACTTGAATATTTTGGATATGGCTAAATTGAAACCTGTGAGTAGATTAGGTGGTATAACATATGCAAGAACAACCCAAGGTTTCGAAAAACCAAGACCAGATTACACCAAAGATGTTCAAGAGAAACCAGAAGTTAAGAAGTTAATAGAAGAGTAAGACTACATTGGAATTATACAACAAATTAACAATGTTAAATAGTAAAACAACAAATAAAAACGGAAAAGAATTCCCAACAGAATGGAAGTGAAAAAATAGGTGTAACAAATAACAAAACACCTCAACTTAGTAGTACACTAATATACAATTTGAGTTTCAAAATAGTAGTAATTCAACGCTTTCTCTTCAAGTGCTCTGGAATATGATGGAATAACCAGTACATTGTTTCTCTTCCGCCATTTTCTCTATTTCTTAAATTTTCCAGCTCATTGACAACACGTTCCTTAGCTAAAGCTTCATTACCACCCATTTCAGCAGCATACATCTGTGTACCAATTTCAACAGCAGTAACAACTCTAAAACGTCTACTAAATGTTTTTGACAAGTTTTTATTGCCCTTTCTCCATCTTTTTTGACTTTCTTCTAAATATTTCAGAGATGGTTGACCTTGATATCCATAATAATACTCATCCAAAACTTCTTGAACAGATTTTGGATTTGGATTAAGCTTATGAAAATTGTTTTCATCAATTAATCCATCATCGTCCTC